AGGAACGCGACCGTCTAGGGCAGGATAGCTGCCAGCCTGGCTGCAAACCCAGGAGCAGGTTAGCATGAAAATCAAGTTGGTCTGGCAAGACCCCCAACCTTGAGCGCTGAGCTTCCCCTCCCACTTCTTCCCCTTGCTTCCTCCTTTCAGCTCTCTCCTCCCTTGTTTTCCCCTCCCCTCTCCCATCCTCTGTCTTCCCTTCTCCCACCTCCTTTTCCCAGTCTCCCCAGAGGTCCATCCTCCCACCCCAGTTTTGTTCAATAAACCCAGTTTCTATTTTTGAACATACGTATCTTTTGTTTGACATCAGGAAGGGGGGCTAGGGAGGGGTAAGTGGAAGGACGTGAAGGAGGAATGAGGCACGAGCCCCCGCTGGGGAGGATCGAGGTGGCTCCTCGGGCACCTCAGGGTGGACGCTCTCCCTCAGGGCCTCCTGGGTCCTCACAGCTCCCCAATGGACCCCCCCCCTCCGGATGGCAGCCTGCAGCAAGTGCAGCCGGGTTGATGGAAACGACCCCGAGACGCACCGGCGTGCCCAGGGGCATCTCTGGCTCCATGTGGCTGAGTGCTGTGGTATCCCGAGTGTGGGCACTCAGGACTCTCCAAGACAGGACTGCTTTTCTGTCCCTCATTGAGGTAGACAAGCAAGTGGGGAACCCTGAGAACTGTCTGTCTGAGGTAGTGGTAGGGTCCCTTTAAGCATGGAGCTCAGTTAGCCTCAGGCAGCAGCCCCACACACTAAGTCCTAACCTGATACCCTGCTGGCACTGGTTCCGGCCACCCTTAACTTCGGTTCAGGGTCCACTCAGTGTGGACATGCTATTTCAAAATAGTTTGTGTGTATAGATGTGTTATTTCGAATTAGCTTAATTTGAATTAACTATTTTGAATTAAGTTAGTTCGAATTAGTGCTGTAGTGTAGACATACCCTGAGGGGGATGGGGATGGGGATGGTGCTCTTACCTGGTGCCCTGCTCCCAGAGTCACACGTGACTCCACGCCCTGCAATGCTCGAATGAGGTTTAATCGATTTAAATTCGAACTAGCAGTTTGTATGTATAGACGCTATTAAAGTTAATTCGAACTAATGGCTGTTAGTTCGAACTAATTTTGTAGTGTAGACATACCCTCAGAGTCCACACCCCCATCTCCCTCACTTAGGGTATGTTATTCCGAACTATCTGTACGCCTCGTGGAACGAGGTGTACAGATAGTTCGGAATGGCTACGTAGTTCGAACTATCTAGCCCGTGCCGCGTGTAGCCGCGCGGCACGGGGTTCGCACTAGCCGGCTTTTAAAAATGGCGGCGCTGGCTTTATGCTAATGAAGCCCAGGAAATTCAAATCCCGGGCTTCATTAGCAAGTTCGGTATGCATACATTACCCCGCTAGTTCGAACTAGCGGGGTAGTGTAGACATACCCTAACCTTCTCTCTCAGATCCTGTCCCAGCACCCTTCAAGGTCTGAAAACTTCCTTAATCTGGCATACTCTATTTCCCAGGGTTGCTGAATTAAAGAGGTTCAAGTGCACTGGTGTGAGAGAAACTGCACCCCACCAGACAGCAGTGTTGCAGCCTCTGCTACACACCGTTGTAGACGCAGCCGTTGGGTACAGCAAAATTGTCCACCTGGAAAGCCCAGCGCCCAGGGCTCTTGATGTTGCTCATTGAACTGATCTTCAGGATGTCTGGGGTCCGTGAACCAGGAATGCTGAAGTATTTTTTAGATCCTCCACTGTTAAATCCAGCCTGAGAGTGGAATAAACAAGAAGAGGATCAAAGGAAGATGGTGGCTGTTTGTGCTGCAGACACACAACTCTAGTGCCACGGTTTCAACTCCATGGGATACACATGAGTCTTGGCCATGCCAGGGTCCATGATGGGGCATCTGTAGGCACTGGGCTCGTGGGGGAAATCAGTTTTATATTGCTCCCCCTACTGCACAGGAAGAAAAGGACGGTAGTGGGTGACAGCTATTGGAAAATCACCCAGGTTTAACAATATGTCACTTCTGTGACCACTAAAGTATACATCCCTTCAAGAACTAGGACTTCCAGTCCTCCCACATCAACCACTGACGCCCACTCTCCCAGCAGAGCTGGGTATGAACTCAGGAGCCCTGATTCCCAGCTCCTTTGCTTTGATCCACTAGCCCTCACTTCCTGCCAGGCTGTGAATAGACTCCAAGAACTCAGGAGTACTGACCCACACACTTTGTTGAAACTAGAACTCAGGGTCTGGCTCTTTCTTCTTTCCTAATCACCAGCACTTAGGCAGTAACTTGGCTTAGGAGCCCAGTAGGTAGTGTACAGAGATGGATGGATTAATAGAGAGACAGAAGCTGCTTCCCATAATACAGGCCTTCTAGGCTTCATGTTGATTGAAAGCATTAATCATGTGTGCTCAACTTGCCTTCTTAGGCTCCCAGTTTTCTAGCCTAGGTTAATGAGGTGGGACCAATGTTCCCTCCAATCTTTTCCATCCATGAGCAGATTTTTTCCATCCATGTGCAGAATAAATTTTTCTATGTATACCAAAGCACACACAAATATGCACCACCAGTATTAATAAAAATGTAGCTTTGGGTGCTCTGCTTATCAGCTGGGTGGCACTGGAATTTCTCCTGAGTGGCCACACAAGCACCTAGTTTACAGGGAACACTGGGTGGGACTTACCTGTGCTGGGATACCCCCCAATCCAGTATAGGAGTCCCCACCACTCGCCACCCCTGTTGTCCACTGGATGTCTCTGTAGTGCAGCAAGATGAAGGACAGGTCACCATCAGTGGTTAGAACCACCTGGAAGGAGTTCACCTACAGCGGTGCAGCCACATTGAGGAAGGCAATCAATGAAAATTCACAAACCAGCACCTAAGACAAAGGTCTGTCCACACACCAGTTACAATCTCATGTTCACCACCCGGAAGCCCTGCCTGAGTGGGAGGGAGGTTCTGGAGCCATGTCCTAAGCAATGCTTGATGACATAGACAATGAAGGGGTTAAATTAATGCTATTGGCAGAGAAAGAAGAGTTGTCAAATCATTGCCTGTCCTCTAGGAACTGTGCTGAGAACCATCAAACTCAATCCAACCAAGCCACCAAACTGGCCACCAGATGGGAATAAAACAACTGTTGAGGATTTTGGAGATTATGAACCAGATTCTGCATCTCATTTTATGTAAATCAAGAGTATCATCATATATATAGTAGCCCAATGTCTGTGACTCTGTAACGGTGTAACGCTTGGTATTGCTTCTGGGCGGCGCTGTTGCCTCTGTAACATCCTTTGCCTCCCGCCGTGGCGCTCAGCTGACTTCTGCGCCTCTCAGCTGGGCTGCCACAGGAGAGCAAGCAGCACAAGTGGCTGTTTGGGCTGCAGACGTCAGCCAAGCGCCACGGCGGGAGGAGAAGGGGGGCAGGGCGGTGACATACATGGCCAGGGGACAGGGCCTAGCTGTGTATGTCACTGCCTTGCCCCCCTTCGCCTGCAGCCGTGGCACTTGGCTCACTTCTGTGCCGCTCAGCCGGGCCACCACGGGGGAGCCCAAACGGCCGCTTGCTCTGCTTGCTCCCATGCGGCGTCCCGACTGAGCGGTGCAGAAGGCAGCCAAGCACCACGGTGGGAGGCGATGGGGGGGCGGGGTGGTGATGTGTGGCATGACAGTAGCTCCAGACCCTGCCCCCTGGCTGTGAACATCACCACCCCGCCCCCCTTAGCCTCCCACTATGGCGCTTGGCTGACTTCTGCGCCGCTCAGCTGGGTCACCACACGGTTTTGGGCTCTGTGCTCCCCATGCAGCACAGGGAGTGCGGAGCCCAAACGACCATTTGGGCTCCGAGGTCCCCTGAGTGAGAGGCAGTAGGGGGAGGAGAAGAGAAAGAGAGATGGAGAGAGAAACCGGAGGCTCAGGAGAGAAGACCGACATGGAGGAGAGACCTGAAAATTCCGTCTTATGATGGGCTAATTGGATAGTCATATAGGGTATGTCTATACTGCCACCCTAGTTCAAACTAGGGTGGTTAATGTAGGCATTCGAAGTTGCAAATGAAGCCCGGGATTTAAATATCCCGGGCTTCATTTGCATCTTGCCAGGCGCCACCAGTTTTAAATCCCCCTTAGAGCGGACTCCGTGCCCGCAGCTACGCACGGCATGGAGTAGGTAGGTCGAACTAGGTGTACCGGTATTTTGAATTAGAGAGCCTAATTCGAACTACCTACTCTGTGCCACGTTTAGCCATGGGCACGGAGTCCGCACTAAGGGGAATTTAAAAATGGTGGCGCCCGGAAAGATGCAAATGAAGCCCGGGATATTTAAATCCTGGGCTTCATTTGCAACTTCGAATGCCTACATTAGCCACCCTAGTTCGAACTAGGGTGGCAATGTAGACATACCCATATATAGTAGCCCAATGTCTGTGAGTCTGTAACTCTGACGTACACGGACCCGCCCCCTGGTCATGTACGTCAGTGCCCCGCCCCCCCTTCCCCCCCCCCCCTGGTCCCCGG